TGTGTGGTGGAAGGGGCACTGGCCGCCCTGAGGGGCCTGAGGATGGGGAACCCTGCTGGGGCTGGTGGGGGGCACGGAGTGGGGACAGGGACAGGGAGCAGGGCTGACACATGTGTGTCACAGACGGGAGGACTAGGGGCCTAAGTTGGAGTGACTTCATGTTGGCTTAAAACCCGCTTATTCTCAGGATGTCTCATTACTGGTTTTTTTTTTTTTTTTTTTTTTTTGGTTTTATTTTGCTTTGCAAGCATGAGCTGCACTTGGCCCGTGTCAAAGACAGGATATTTGTGGGTTTGTGACACGGATCTGCCAAAGCTGTGTGTGCCCAGAGCGACGCCGTCTCCCGAGAATGACAGTTTGAGGACTCTCAAACGGTTTTCTACATAACAGCGGACGCGGGAACATTTGGAAACATCTGGATGATTGCTATCTCCTGCAGAAAAAGCCACGTACGTGACTACATTTTTTTCCCATTTTTATCCAGATATTCTGGAATAACATAGACAGCCAAAGAGGCTCATCTCCAGGAGAGAACACATAATCATCATGAAGTGGGAGGTTTTCAGAACTACTACTTGATTTATTTTATTTTAGTCTATTTGATTTGCCTTCCACACTTGTAACCATTTTATTGATCTTTGGTTTCCACTCTTTCCCCGCCCAGTACCTAGCTCGGTGTCTGGCATGTAGTAGATGTTGAATACACCTTAAAAATAAAGAGATGGGCGAATGAAGACATCATCCTTAAGTATTTTAAGCTCCAGGACAGGAATTATGCTAAAGAATGAAAAACTATTCATTTAGAAGGGAGGAGCACAAATACGTATGGAATGTGCGCCATGAGACCGGCTCGGGGCCAGACACCAGGTATCACGCGTGTGCACATCCACACGTCTGTACACATGCTGTTAGGGTCGCCTGGTGCGTGACCACTCGCCGCTCCACTGTGTAACCGGGTGGACTCCGAGAGGTTGGGTAGATGAAGATCCTCCTGGAAGAGTCGAGGCTGGGATGGGAGCCCTGAGCCGGGACGGTATTTCTGTCGACTCCACGTCGCTCTGGACTAACCCGCCGTAGCAGTTCGTGTTTGGGGAAGTGTCCTGTCCTCTGAGGATTTGGTGAAAGCCGGAGCCGTGAGCACAGGGAGGGACAGTCCCCGTCTACACCCAGCGTGCATTCGCCAAGGATCCCCGCTTCACAGCGTCACAGTCAGAGATTCAGGTTTCTTCCCTGGGCCTCAGCGTCAGGGCTAAGGACCAGAATGAGCCTGACCCGGGGTGGCCCGGCCCCCCGCCCGCCGGCCCCTCCGGGAGGCCTCCCCCGTGGGAGGGAAGGGTTCTTTCTTTCACCCAAGATCCGCTCAGGCCTCCAAGAGCCAGTTCCTTCCATCACTCGTGGTGGGTCCGCGTGGCTCTGTTGGGAAACACATACCGGCTCCGTATTTGGAAAATAGAGATTTTCTAACGTTTCCTCACTCCGTGATTAGAAAGTTAGTCAACAGTAGGGACGCGACGCAGCCGGACCCGTCCCGAGAGGCTGGGCAGCTGGTGCTTCGGGCCCTCCTGACCAAGGCCCTCGGCAGGCCCTGGGCCGGCTCCGGGAGGCCCTCCCCATCCGGCCTCTGGGTCTTCGTGAAATCCGCCAAGTAAAGACCTTTTGTATTGTTTTACTCAAAGCCCCAGTCCCTTCCCCCGCTGTGGGGGCTCAGAGGCCGCGACACCTGCAGGTGTCCCCCATGTCACTGTGCTGGTGCAGGTTAGAGAGGAGAGGTGCCAGGGAGTGCCGGCCTGCAGCTCCGGAGCCTGGGGGGCCAAGGGGCCCCAGGGCTAGGGGTGGGGTGGGGGGCTGGTGGCCTGGGGGTGCCTGGGGGTCGAGGGAGCCTGGGGGGCCGGGGGTGGAGGGCTAGTGGCTCGGGGGGGGGGGCTGGGGGTCAGGGGAGCCTGGGAGGCCGCGACAACTCAGGGGGGTGCGGCCTAGGTCCTCCGGGCCCGTCGTGGGGCCGTCATCGCCGCGGGGTGGTCACGGTGAGCCGTGGAGCACCTGTCGGATAACAGCGAAGCATCTCTGCTTCAAGGCTGAGGATCAACTATCCACAAAATCCACGCACGTCGGTGTGGTTCGCAGTGGCGGGGGGTAGCTGAGTAGTTGGGGCCTTTTCTGGGAGGCGACACTCGTCACCTGCCTACACGAAGGAAGCTGGAGGAGCCAACGCGACAGTCGCCTGCACCCCAGACACACCCCGGCACCCAGAGTCCGAAGACGTGTAGGTTTGTGGAAGTCGCGAGAAAGACGTGCAACGTCCCCGTGGCCGACCTGCCAGGGAAAAGGTGTCTTGGGCTTTGTCTTTGGGGAGGCCTGTGGATTGCATTCCTGTCGCCCGGCGGGGGACCGAGGGACCAGGGACTGAGGGAGGGGAAGGCAGGGAGCAGAGCCGGCGGCGCCCTGGGGCCGGGTGAAGGCGGGCGGCGGAGCTGTCACCCTGCCCTACTCTCGGGCCCTGGGAGCCACTGGGTCCCCGCACTCAGCCCTGGGGCTGCCGCCTTGGGGCGCCTCTGCCTCCAGCCCACGCCGAGTGGTGGCTGTCCCTGCCACCCGCTTAATGTCACTGGACAAAGGGCTTCTCCCCTCCCCGGAGGACACACACCCTCCTTGCACATACGTGGACACTGGGCTCCATTTTCACACCTTCCCCAAATTGGTCTCAGATGAGTCACAGTCTTGTCAGCTCCTGCAGGCCGAGACGCCTTGGGGGGACGTGGATAGAAATGATTCCCTAAAATGTGCCGTCCTTCCTGTGTGGCAGCAAAATGACTTCCCTGCCATCGGAGCAATGCGAGCTCTGGATTATTTACGGACGCAAGGCCGCTGTGTAGAAGCGTCGGTGCCCGACCGCTGCGCTGTCAGAGGCTCGGCTCGGAGTCCTGACCCTTCCTGAAGATGCTGGGGATGGGACAGGGGAGGGGGACAGCGGGCGTCGATGGCCTGTGCGTGTTTGACAGGACTAGTGGGTATGAATCACGATTCATGACGTCCCTGGTCCAAGCAGTAGGACCTCCTGCACCTTCTAAAGTAGCTTCCTTCCTGTTTCGAGCCCCTGCCTGATGCCAGGAGCCACTTCTCCGTTAATTTGGGGCGCCTGCCCCCATTATCCTTGGCGTGCCCCCGCGCTCCCGAGGGCCGCCCCAGGACGGGGAGGTGCGGGCCGCCCTCAGCCCCACGTAAGCCCCACGTTGCCAGACGGTGCAACGGGAGAGGTGGGGGCCTTCCCACCCAGGCCCTTCTCACAGGCCAAGGCCACAGCTCGCCGGCTCCTCTGGCTCCTCCTGAGGCTCCCACCGGCCGTTGCAGCCCAGAAGCATTCACCCCCTGCACCTGGCCCCGGGCCCCGGGCACCGGCCATACCGTTTGCCACTCGCAAAGGAGAAGCACCGAGATTGGGAGAAGCTTGACCCTCCTCGAGGCCTCGGATCCGATCAGCGGTAGAGCCGGATCCGCCCGCCGGACCCACCGGGACCTGTCGCCGTTGTGACTGCGCGCCCCGTGTGGTCCCCCCACGGCCAGGAAGCCTCCGGGACCAGCCGAGAATAAGGTGGACCTCCCTACACACTTGACGACTTCACTGCCCAAACCATTGGGCTGCTGCGTGACCGGCGCACCCTGCGTTGCACACTCGTTACCTGCACACGCGTCCAGGGGGCCCAGGGAGGCCCAGCTGCAGACCCAGGCCCCCTGCCGTGCCGTCCTCCGTCTCCGTCGCCGTTGGTGCCATGCTCCACATGGGGCCCGTGCTCGGTGTACGGCGATGATAGTGACAAGGATGGGTCCATAAGTCAGGGTGACGCGGGGCCGTTGGCTCCCTGCAGCTCTCCGCTCCGTCTGTGCGGCCAGGTGGTGGCCACGGCCTAGCTACAGCCTCCGAGAACCCACAGAACCTGCTCTCGTCCCGGCCTCTCAACTCCGCGTCCTGGTCCTGGTGCAGGCGGTGCCTGGGAGAGCCCGTTGCTCGGGATGAGCCCGTGATGGACCTGAGCCCGGCCTCCCCTCTTGCGGGCCCTGCAGGATCTGCTTACCCTCTCTTCCTCATTGATCGTGGGAAACCCTGCTGCCCTGTTGCAGGCTGGCTCTCAGGTCTCCTCGCCCCCTCCATCGTCTCGGGAGACTCGGGGAGCGGACAGTGCCTGGGCCCGCATCAAAGCGGGGCATCTCGCTGGCGGGAAGAGCACGCACCATCCCACCGGTGCCCTCGTTTTCCCACCAGGACAGAACGATGACTATGACAGGGCGGGCACCTGGAAATGACCCCGATAACTGGTTCAAGCACAGGAATGCCCAATTCAATTATTTTAATTTCTATAAATACTTTAGATTAAAATCTGTGGTGAAAAGGGGAGGGGGGATCTGATGTGTTTTCTTCTATCCTACCTCAAAGTTCAGTCACCACGTATGATGCCCACAAAGGCGTCAGGTCGTTCGGTTGCAGGGATAGAAATCCCGCTCAGATTCACCTCAGCTAAAGGAAAGAACTAATTGTCTATGCGGCTGAAAAGTCTAGGGCTTCAGGCACGGTGGGATCCAGGAAATGTCTCCGTCTCTCTTTCTCTTTTAAATCTGTTAACTGGGTTTTCCTTTGTTTCGGTTCCCAACGACTTCTGGTTTAGGTGGGGCTTTCGGCTTCTAATTTTAGAAGAGAGATCCTTTCTCTCTCAACGTCTAATACATTTTTTTTTTAATACTCTGGCCCTGTTTGCAACGCGTCCATTGTCAGAGTCTGAGCAGCTTGGGTTCCGTGTCTCCCGCTGTGGCTGGTGGCACGGGAACCCGGGACTGCGAGTCCCTCTAACCTTGCTTGGACTGGGGAAGGGCACATCCCAAACTGAAAGAGGGGAGGCAGGGTTAGAAACACCACCACCAAGTGTCTGCCACGTTTCACAAGCGGGAGTTTGGGGAGGGAGGGAGGGAGGGAATGAGGGAGGGAGGGCCCCGTAATTCTTTCTCCGCCCTGACCCTGACGGAGCGAATCCGTGTCCTTAGGGAGGGCGACAGGGAGCTGACCTTTCTTGACCTCCTGTCAGGTTCACACAGCGTGTGTCACGTACATCGTTATATCCTTTAACTCTTAAAACTCGCTGCCCCCATTTTTTTTATCAGTTTTTTTCAGAAGCCGGGCATTGCCCGACGGAGAGAGCCAGGTGTCACGGGAGAGGAGAACCCTTTGCACCCTCAGCCTTCGCGCTCCCGTTCAACCCACTGGGACGCGGGACGGCCCCGATCTTTCCTCTCACTTGCTCTCCAGTCTCTAGTTCCCCACCGACCAGTCGAGTTCTGCGGCACCGGAGGGCCGTTGCCTACGACCTCCTGACCCGCTGTCCGCCTCTGCCAGACAGTTCCAAACAGAGGCTCCCTCACCCCGTTGGCGTTCTCTGTGGACCCTTCGCACGGAACGTTCCAGAAGGCCCTGCCACGCTGCATGGGTTAGCTCCACGCACTGCGCTCTCGGAGGGACATAGACTCATCCCAAGTTTTCTTCTGAAGACACAGAAGAAGTTTTAAGAAGTAAAGGAAACTTCTCCGAACACATACATCTAGACGTCGGCAGCTCAGGATAGACAAACCCAAAGCCTGGTAGCACGAACCATCTTAACATGCACGAGGCCCCTGCAAGTCCTTGCAGATCCGGCAAGTCGAGATAGAATTTCTGGTCTAGTCAATGAAGGTCTTGCAGCGTGGTGATGCTCCCAGATGAAGTTCTGGCCTGAATTTTTGAATTGAGGAAAGAAAAATGAGGTTTAAAAATACAAAAAAAAAAAAAAAAAAAACCAAAAAAACAGGGGCTGTCTGGGTGGCTCCGTCAGTTAAGTGTCCAACTCTTGATTTTGGCTCAGGTCGTGATCTCGGGGTCGTGAGGTTGAGCCCTGGGTCGGGCTCCATGCTGGGCGTGGAGTTTGCCTAAAAGACTCTCTCCGTCTCCCTCCACCCTTCATCCCCACCCTCTCTCCAATAAATAAATAATTAAAAAAAAAGGATACAGAGAAACAGACTCACTGTGAATTGTACAGTTTTTGTGACAGGTGCTTACTAGGATTGTGCAGTGAACAACTTGAACAACAGTGCCTAGTGACCCTGCAAAGAAAGGAACACTCAGGAGCGTCATTTAAAAGAAATAATTTGTTAGATTATATAGTTTGCGTTAGAAAAGTTGAGCTTCAGACTTACCTGTGTTCCTTATATGTGTGTGTGCGCAGGAAGGCAAAGCGGCAGCGGCGTGTCCAGGATGCACCTGAGCCCTGCAGTTCCGCGTACCTGACGCACGTGCCTGTAGGGCATCACATCGCCGTCGATTCTCTGCGAAAGGACACTTTTCGATTCTAAGGATGAAAATCACAGAAGCACTAGGATCCAAGAGCTTCTTTCATTCCAAACAGCTCTTGACGAGTTAAGCGCAGACGAACCATAAACGCACAGATTCAGTTTCTCCTGGGACAGAAATGGGTCTGGGTTGGAGGAGGACGGGTCAGTTGGTCAAATGCGTCCCTGCTTTGCTGAGTCATGAGCTTTCAAAAAAGAGCGTTGTGCCTAAAAATAAATAAATAAATAAATAAATAAATAAATAAATAAATAAATAAATAAATAAATAAATAAACAAAATAACTAAAACTAAATATGTCAATAAGACCACGGAGGTGACTATCTCCGTGTTCCAGGGTGGGGGTCTCCGTTTTTGGGTCCAAGTGGGGTGATGGGCACGTTCGGAAGGGAGCCGCTGCCTTCCTTGCCACCTGGCCCGGCCCCGTGTCGCTGGGCCCTCGGCTTGGTCGTGTCCAGGGCCGTAGAGCCGCCGGCCGCCCGTGCCCGACAGGGACACGTGTCCCCCGGGGACCCCGCTGGCTCCGCGGAGGAGGAGCCTTCCCTGGTGCAGCCACGGCCCGCGGCACCTGCAGCAGGTGGGCCCCAAGCGCCACCTGCCACCCAGACTCCCTGCAAAGGGCGAGAAAGAGGAACTGCCGCTTCGCCAGCCGCGTGCTCCGACTTGGCCTGGAAGTATCGAGGGCAGCGGGGGGGCGGGTCAAGGAAAGGCCGGCGAGTGACCCCGCCAGGCGGGAACAGGAGGCGCCCGGGGTCGACGCTGGGCGACAGGGCCGCAGTCGCTTTTCTAGGACTTGAGCAGAAGCCACGGTGACCCGTGGGCGAAGGAGGACGGGCCGCAGGAACGCGAGGGTGACAGACGCGGGTGGGGGATGCTCCCAGAGCTCCCGCCCAAAGGCAGGCAGGGGAGCGCGGGTGCCGCCCCGAGGGGTGCCGGCCCAGAGGCCCCCCTGGGGGCTGTGCTCTCTCCCTCGGGGCGCGGTGGCCTGCGAGCCGCTGGGAGCCCGGGTGCCTGGCCCCGGCCCTGCGCCACGGGGCCCAAACGAGGACGGAGGACCGAGCGCCTCTTGTATCCAGAACAGGCCCACGCCCGTGACGCCAACCTCAGCCCGACTTCTCACCTTCGGGATTGCCCCGGGGCGGCCGTGCCTTGCCCACGTCTGCGCCCCGTCCTCCTTATGGTTCTCCCGCGGCCTTGGGGCCTAAGCGCGTCAATTCGAGGGAGAATTGGGTCAAAAACAAATGGGGTGACATGCAAGTCAACCAGAGTGGCGAGGAGTCAGCAGTCTGCCAAGATGTAGAATTTGTTTCTGGATTCGGGGTCCAGAAAGAGGAATTCCATTAATTTTGCCTTTTTTCCCTTGTAGGCGGGTTGGGGTAGGGAGAGGGGACTGTCCGTCTTGGTGTCCTGCAGCGGAGGATGGCCCGGACGTCTGCTGGTGCTGGGTCGAGTCCCCCCGATCCGCGGGGCGGCCCGTCTGCATTCCGGGGCGTGGAAGCGCCCGGCCGTCAAGGCCCAGCTGCCGGGAGGCTTCTGTGACGGGGCCCCCGGGTCCGGGGCGGCCTTGCTCCCTGCGCCCCAGCCTCTCGGGCCACGCGTCGCCGGCCGGCGGAGGGCAGGCATCGCCGAGGCCCGTCCCTCTGGGGGGCCACGCGGCCAAACAGGGAAGCATGAATCTCTCTCCCTGAGACCCGAGCCCATGGCTGTCCAGGTTCCCCAGAGGGAAAATGCGCAGCACGGCCACGTGGCCCCCCGGTGAGGTGTTCCCCGAAGCGGATCGAGTCGGCCCCGGATCGTGGGCCACGTACCTGCCTGATAGCATGGGTTCCAGTCCCAGCTTCCTCAGCCACTGACCAGGACACCCAACAAGCTGCTTTTAAGTTCTTTGGGTCTTAGTTTCTTGATCCGGAAAATGGGAACAGTAGCGATGCCTGGAGGCTAGTGTCGAACGAGCTGACGCAAGCAGCCGCCTGGCCCCTAATGGGCACTCGGCAGGGCTGCGTCCTTCCCTCCACCCTCTCCAAGTGGCCCCATTGCACAACGTACTTTCTCCAGCGGCCCTTGTCCGAAGACCCCACGCGGCCGCGGGCCTACAGGCGGCCCCCCGACAGCCTCAGCAGTGCCCCGCAGGAGCACCGAGGACAGGCGTTCCTGCGCAGGGAGCGGGCGGCGCCCTGGTTCCTGGTCGGCAGCTCTCGGGGCGGGAGGGTCAGGCGCAAGCCACCCCAGGTCCCTTCCCGTCCTACCAGGCTGTGGTCCCGTGAGGCTGCGGCAGCTGCAAAGCCGGGCTGGCCGCTGTGACGCGGAGGGGACGGCGGGCCCTGGGCGCCACGGGCCTCCTGCGACCCCATCAAGCCCCAGCCCCCTCCGGGCCGGCTCAGAGGCGTGCACCTTCCCTCCTGGTCGCCGGGGCGGTCGTCTCCGGGGCCCAGTGTGTTCTGGAGAGCCCTCGCCGGGCTTAAGGTGGGGCCGAGGGCGGGCGAGACGGGCCCGAGGGCGGGGACGGGCACCTGCCAGCCCAGGCTGCTGCCGGCTCACCCCTGACGGGCGTCACCTGTGCGAGGGACGCTGCTGTGTGTGACATAGGCCTTTGGGGGGGAATCTATACAGGTGGTCAGTTCTTTTCATGTTTTCTTTCTTTTTATTAATTAATTAATTAATTAATTTTAATTTTAATTTTTTTTGGTGGCTATTTCCAAGACTCGGGACTCTCAGGAAAGTCCAAACGGGTGCGGAGGTACAAGGGATCTTAATTTGTTTTTAGGATCGAACTAATTTCCATTTAGATGAATGTTCCAAAACGAGTTCCAGGGAACTGGGTTTTGCAATGCTAAGCGCTATTTGAAACAATTTATTTTCCGCGGTTATTTCAACATAAGAAATGAAATGCAAACACGCGGGCTGTGACGACACCTTCTACTGGGAGTCGGGGTGTGTGTCGGAGGATGTCTTTGTCCTTTCTTTCTTTTCTTTCTTCTTCTTTCTTTCTTTCTTTCTTTCTTTCTTTCCTTTTTTTATTTCCTTACTTTTTTTTTTTTTGAAGATAAACTTTTTTCCTTCTGCCTTGAATGTTTATTGTCAGGAAGCACTGCAAGCTTTCAACATTTTTTTATTTGATGGAAACATGGGCTCAAAAGCCGCCTTTCTTTTTCCCACTGAGTCAGGGAGGGTCTGAGTAATTAAGTAATAAGAACACAGATTTTTTTTTTAAGATTTTAGTTATTTATTCATGATAGTCACAGAGAGAGAGAGAGGCAGAGACACAGGCAGAGGGAGAAGCAGGCTCCATGCAGGGAGCCCGACGTGGGACTCGATCCCGGGACCCGGGGTCATGCCCTGGGTCAAAGGCGTTGATAAACGGCTGCACCACCCGGGCGGCCCGTTGGTTTTTATCTTATTCATTTTTTACAATAGTGCACATTTCTTGTATGATTTAAATATCTACAATATTAAAATTGTTTAGAAGGACGCAGTGGAGTTAGGGAGGGCAGGGAGGAGGAGGGCGGGAGGCAGGCGCCTGGAGAAGGGTGTTCATGGCCCTCCGCACGCACAGCACCGCACGCACCAGGCCTCATGACACCCAGGCTGCAGCCCCCCAGGGTGCGCGCCGGCCGTGGCCGATGGAGCACGTCAGGGCCTCGGGGGCTGGAGCCATGTTGGGAACCAGAACAGTCCACAGAGAGATCCAGCTCCCTGACACCTTTGACAGGGCTCCATCGCAGGGGGCCCGTTCCTGCGAGCAGCTCGACGTGCTGGGTGATGGGGATGCTCTCCCAGGGATTACCTCCCCTTCGGAGCCCACAGTCTGCTCCCCCGTCCGCCTGCCCGGGGATCCTGCAGCGCCCACGTCACCTGGTCACCTGGGGGTGAGGCCTGCAGGTGGGCCAAGGCCAGGGCTCTGAAGCGCCAGGGAGGAAGGCCCCGTCCACCTGCCACGGCTCCTGCAGTGCCCACATCACCTGAGGGTGAGACCTGCAGGTAGGCCGAGGCTGGGGCTTGGAGGGGCTGGGAGGAAGGCCCCCGTCCACCCGCCCTTAGCTGAGGCCTCAGTCTCTCGGGCAGGCCGCCAGTCCACGTGGTGGGCTCTGGTCCACCCTGTGCCTGTAGCCCACGGTCTGTGAAGTCGGCGGGCTCGGCCACAGTCATGTCTAGGGCGGCTACAGGCCAAGGCGGCCTGGGTGCTGGTCCCCGCCGCGCGGGTGCGGATTCGGGGTCATCCCCGGGCGGGTCCTGCTCGGCGTGAGCGCTGCCCGTGGGTGGCATGTGGGACCTACAGGGGCGGCCTCAGCGAGGCGACTGCAGGTGCGGGAGGAAGGCCCGGGGGGCAGCAGAGAACAATCCGGAAGAATTGGAGGACATGGTCACCGCTAGCTGAGCGGGTGCTTTCCTTTCCTGGCGGTCCATAGAATAACGATTTGTGTCACAGCTGGTGTCTCACATTTGACGAAATCAAGAGTCAACCCCTTATGGTTCGCGTTGGGACGCCCTGTTCCTCGGAGTGTAAAGTTGCTGCGGCGGCCTATCGGGCACCGTGCGGGGATCCAACCGGCCGCAGCCCCCTCGGCCGCCGCGAGGAGGTGCGGGCACGTTAGCGCCCACGCGTGCGAGCGCTCGGTCTGGTCCCCTGGCAGGAAGCAGTCGACGCGAGCAGGGACAGGGCTCGGTCCCCGCTGGTGTGGCCGGCAGGGCGGCGGGGGAGCCCGGGCAGCACCCCCTCTGCAAAGGCACGGCTGCCGGGGGCACGCGTGGTGAGCAGCAGCTCCCGGAGATGAGAAGGTGCCAGCCTCGTCCCTGGCGGACTCCGGGACTGACCTGCGGGAACGCTTAGCCACAGAGCCCGCTGCTGTCTGCGAACTGAATTCTTTGGGTTCCCGTGTCCTACAGCATCCCCTTGGTCCTCTGTGCCTGTTATAGGGTCAGGCGGCCCTTTGAGGAGCCCATCACAACCTCCTGAAGCAAGCAGGAGTCGCAGAGACCGCCCGGGGACACTATGTCACTGCATCCTCGGACAACTAAGTCCTTCCTGAACCACGGCGTTGATCATCCCATTCCACCCCATTGCACCCCATTCCACCCCATTGCACCCCGTTCCACCCCATTCCACCCCATTCCTCCCCATTCCTCCCCATTCCACGACTGAGCCTTTTCTCTTGCCGTGTTTCATCTTCATAGACAAGATGAGTGGCCTCCCCCGGAGGAGACCGGCTGCGGACACGACTCGTTGGGAGAAGCAGCGTCTCCTGCTCCCCGACCTGGGCACGCCCCGGGCATCCGCACCTGAGAAACACCTGCCGCCCCGAGCGCCTTGCTCCCTCCGGGGGCGCCTACGCCGAGGCCTGGGAGCTCCGGCCCGTGCTCACGTGCGCCTTTTCCTCATTAAATGCAAGTTTGTCATTTGAAAAGGTTGACTAGGATTCTATTTCGGAAGAGAATTCCAGTTGGTTAAATTTAGTGTCATAAAGAAAATTCCAACCGAGAATAGTTTCTGGCTTTGAGCCCGCAGCGTTTCTTTTGTTGTGAATTGGACGCGCTTTCATTCACTGTCAGCGTTTCCTGCGGCGTTTGTCCTTTTCGAGAACGCACAGCGATGGCCCCGCTGGCTTTAGTAGGACCGGTCTTTCCTCCGGAAGTGACTTACCCAAATTTTATTATTGCCAAACAGGCAATCTCAATTTTTTGAGTTTCCCTGGACCCTCTTGCCTCTTCTGTCATAAACCAGGACTGCTGCTGTCCCAGCGCCCCCAGCTCTGTGGGTGCTCCTCCCCCTAGGACCTCAAAGGAGCCAGCCTCGAGAGGCAAATGTCTGCATTTTGGGCTAACGGTTGAGCTGGATTTTGCAGACGGGAGAGCCCACCAGAGCTCTGTGGGTCTCCCGACCTGCCTGTGGTCACCTTTTCCTTCTCTTCCTCCCCTCCCTTGGTCGCTTGGTGACTTCTGTTTCTTTCTTTTTTTTTTTCTTTTTTTTTTTTTTTTGTGACTTCTGTTTCTTGAATGTACATTTGCTGCTCCTGGACCCTGCCCTGAGTGCCTAACCCACGTCACCCCGTTTCCCCCTTCTGGCCGCCTTACAGGAGGCCCTACTGTCCTCGTGAAGGTAAGGAGACCAGAGGCCGACCTCAGGCCTAAATTTTACAACCTCATGTTCCTGACTATGAGACAACGTCTCTTGTTATAGAACAAAGAGTCTCCTAAAGAAGGTGTTGATTTCTACTTTTTTTGGGAGGGGGGCGCGGGAGGATAGTGTGATTTTTAGTCTACTTCACTATTATGCTCACGACCCAGAAACTCAGGAATGATCGCACCCCCGGAGAGCTCAGGTCTCCAACATTCTCGATCTTCGAAACTTCGGTGTGTTTTACCTTACACTGTGCCACGTCCGACATGTCATCAACCAGTTTTTGGTATTAATTTCTAAATTGGATTTTCACCTAAATTTCTAGGTCAGTGTGTTTCCTGTCAGAATTCTGCAAAGTGTTGGGATTCTGAGGTAGACTCTGTTTCATAATCCGGTTTGAAAGTTTTTTATTTTATTTTATTATTTTATTTTATTTTATTTTATTTATTTTATTTTATTTATTTATTTTATTTTATTTATTTTATTTTATTTTATTTTATTTTATTTTATTTTATTATTTTATTTTATTTATTTTATTTTATTTTATTTCATTTCATTTCATTTCATTTTATTTATTTTATTTTATTTTATTTATTTTATTTTATTTTATTTTATTTTATTTTATTTTTGAAAGTTTTTATTTTATATCAGGTCGTCTGGCACAAGATGAGACAAGACAATGACCATCTCGGGGCGCTGTGTGCGGCAATATGCGGGCTTTCAGGGTCCTCGTGACTGAGGCAGTATAGAAAAAAATAGACCTAGCTTTACAATACGTGATACGGGAACGTGAACATCAGTGTTTGTGCAGGAACCGATAGGTCTGACCAGTTGTCGGGTTTGCTGAGAAAGGCCTTGAAAATAACATGAACGATGTAGGTAGCCCCGTCGGGCAGCGCGGTCTTCATCCCGCAGGAAGGGCACCTGCTGGCTCCTCCCGGGATTCCCCAGACGCCGCTGAACAGTCTGAGGTCCTCGGGATTCTCTTCCAAGGGAGCAAAATGATGGGGTAATTTAATTCTAGGTCGATCAGCTTCAGGACAGAGAGATCTCCTGAATTTTCTGAACTCCCTGAATAAAGACGAAGGTACACTGAAGAGCCAACCCTCTAATTCATTTGTTCCCCGGGGAACAAATCAACCGACACATTTGGAAGAGAAAGGAAGACAATTTTATGTGGCTTTTAACAAATTTGCTCATTATCTGTTTAATATTTTCTGGGCTGTGAACAGTGATTAGTATATCAAATTAATTCTTGGATGGTTTGCTTGGCTGACTAAGTTAGGATTTCCAGGAGCAGTAGGCAAAAAAGATCGTC